AACCGCGGTTCATTAGGTGTTTCGGGTCTTTCAACATCATACCCCCTCTCCACGGTGACCCAGTGAGCAGAATTTTGTTTATTAGGGTGTTCAACAGATAATTTGAGCAGTAATGATCATCGCTAAATAACAGAAGCTCACGTTGGTCGATTAAAAGTTTCACGGCAATGTTAACGCTCCTCAGGGTCAGCCGATAAGGCTACATATATATATATATATATATATATATATATATATATATATATATATATATATATATATATATATATAAAAATAATGGACTCTCCGTCGGTTTCGACGTATGAAGATCTGAGAGCTGATTGCTTATATATATATATATATATATATATATATATATATGTATAATGGACTCTCTCCGTCGGTTTCGACGTATGAGGATCTGAGAGCTGATTGCTTATATATATAGATATATATATATACATACTCTTGCTCCTATATATATATATATATATATATATATATACATACACATTAATTACGTCAAACTTAGCATAAAATAACGACGAAAATTCGTGAGTCACGAAAGACGATAATGAGGAAAGTATTTAACAAAAACACGGAATCAATTTCGCAATGAATTTGTGAATCAATTTTTCCAATATTGTTTAAAATTAAATAGTATAATAAATGCATATTGCATAATGCTAGCTTTGACGTATTAAAAGATGGCTATTAAGGATCTCGAAAATGCTCAAAATTCGACGCAAAGATCTCTGACAGGGATAAACCTGAGATAGAAAGAGGTGACCACGGACGACAGAAGAGACCAGAAGAGGCGGTCGTCATGGAAGGATTTGGTAAAAGTCTGCACTTGACAAGCAATGAATGATGTTAAGATAGATGAGTAGATTGACCGATAAATTAGAAGACAGCAGGCACTGGCATCGTTAAAGTCAACGGTATGATCCTTTTTAATTTGTTGACGATGCAGAAAAGATGCCAAGGCGATGTACATCAATATGACAAGAGATGGCAGATGAAATTACAGATGGGAGGGTCAAAAACTAGTTCCACTCCGGAAGTCAGATTAGGATATTTTTCCCAAGAGAGTTGCAGCATAAACATTGACAATTAGAATTCAGCTTACCCTCATCTCATCTACCCTGATTGCTATATATATATATATATATATATATATATATATATATATATATATATATATATATATATATATATATGTGTGTGTATATATATATATATAGAGAGAGAGAAAGAGAGAGATATATATGAAGAAATATAGTTTTAAAGTGTGCTATATTTATGAGATAAATGCTCAATATCAGAGATATAGTGTATGTAAATATAAATATAAAAGTGAACATTGAAGTCAAGATTTTATATTTATATTTCTACGCACACACACACACACACATTTATATATATATAATATTTGCCTTTTAAAGTATATTTTTTTCTTCCTCTTATTAGCTTAGTACGGTCAAATGAAAAGGTGAAATCAGATCAAAATGCAGAAATATTGGCGAAAGACAATGATCCCAGTGAAACCAGCTTACCTGCCTAATTAACATGGAAAATCAATCATCAGACCTCTAACAACGATGTCTCTGCTCGCTGGAACATGTCGACACCACCTTTGATCAAATGTCATCCTTTTTTTTTCAAAACCTACTGTAACTGAAACTTCTTTGACTTGTACCTATTCACCCGTTCCTTTTTTTTTCCTCTCTTTCTTCGACTTTTTATTTTCTTTCTTTCATTTTTTACTCTTTGTTTTCCCTGACTACTAAACTTTTTTGTTTCACATTCTTTTTCTTCTTTCTTATTTCTCTTCTCACGTCCTAACCTTCTTTTTTTTCATCTACTATGTTTGTCATCTTTCTTTGCTCTCAGCACTTTATTTTTGTCTTCCATTCAATCTCTTTCTTTCTTCATTTACGTTTGCTTTTTCTCCTCTACCTTTTCCCTTTTGTCTCACTTCGTTTTGCTCAACACATTCCCAATTTCATTCTCTTATGTTTTTGACTTTTACTTCTGCATTGTATTAAACTTTCTTTTCTTTCTCAATTTTATCTACCTCATTATATCTTCAGTTTCTCTTCTCTTCTTTGTATTTTCCCGCCACTTACATTCTTTACTCATCCGCTTATATCTTCACTTTCAACTCCCTCTTTTACCTTACCCACACATTATTTCTTTACCCTTTCTTTCTTTACTATCACCCCTTTTGTATCTTTATTATCACCTCTCTCCTTTGCCTATCCCCAATTTCATTCTTTACCCTTTCTTTCTTTATTACCACCTCTTTCTATCTTTATTATCACCTCTCTCCTTTGCCTTAACCCCACTTTCTTTCTTTACTCACCCATTCCTTACTCTCACCCACTCCTTTATATTTTCACTTTCATCTCTCTCCTTTGTCTTACTCTCATTTTCCTTTCTCATCAATTTCTCATTCTCACCTTCCCCTTTACCTCTTCTGTCGTTTCAACGCACTAAGGGAAACGACTTTATTCCTCTCTGGATAAATAATGTTCCTTGATTCCCAATTCCTTGTGAGATTGCGTAAGCCAATCCATAATTATAGGCCTTTTTTCTTCTTTTTTTTTTACAAAACAAAAAAATACCCAATCTATTAAAGAAAAAGCCTTCACCCGAGAAATCCGGCTTTCGTTTTTGAAAAAGAAATCATTAATTTATACCTTGCCCCTTGTATAGGTCAGCCCCAGATTATATTTATTAATGCAACAAGCAGTTAATTTGAGAAAACACCATAATTTATGACTTTTTCTTTATGCAGTTTATTCCACGATATATTATATAATATATAAAGGAACGAGAAGCACAAAGAAGGTTTGGCACTAGTTTTTCAGGAAAATGGAAAGACATACAAGCACTGTAACACAGCATTGGTAATTATGGCTTTCATCTAGGCTCGAACACAGCGTCAGCCTACACGGCCACCCCATATATCCCGGCTTAATTATATAAGATATATATATAACAGCTTAATTGACCATTCCACAAAATGTTTACTATCTAAGAATCCACTAAAATAATTGAGTTTTTCCAGGTGCTTTTTTTTTTTTAGTTAGCCAGCTTGACACCATTTGCTGTAAAACTCGCAGAAAAACCTTTTGGGTTATTCAGTTACAAAGAAAATAAGTTAAAATCGTTTTATGTCAGTGCTGCTATGTCGTCCCAACTGGGCAATGATGAGAGAGAAAAGATTATTCAGACCTCCAGTAATGGTACCAATATTCATTGTCTTGCTTCCGTCTTCAAGGTCCTTTCAAGAACCATCATGAGAACGGTGAATATGTTAAAAGTGTAGAGATCAGTATAGACGAAAATTGGATCAGGGGGTCACAACAGTAAAAAGGATCATCATTTCATCTTAGAGCTAAATACATTCTTGATATTCAAAGTACAGTCCAATAAAAACCTCGTAGAACTCCGATCATAAAAACTTCGTAGAATTCCGGTAAGATATCTTTAATCATTTCTAAGATACAACGATTCAAAGCTGAAATTTAACAGTTGGAAAATGTTGCTGTTATACGATTTATACAATTTTGATCTTACACCCGGTATATACATAGCAGTCCACAGAATTTTTAAAACTTCGCGATATTTGCGTTAGGGTGCTGAGAATGTTTTTGCTTAATCATGAAGCTGTTCTTGCTGGATCATTTGTTCAGATTTTGAGAAACATTTTTTAAAGTCCTCCGGTTATTTTTCTAAAGATGTTTAATGACTGTGAAAAGACATTATTGTGAGAAGCGATTTTATACCCAGCCCCGCCCTCTAGTTTTATTTAAAACTTGCTCTTGGTCAGCCGTAAACGCCGGATGAGAAAGGCAAAAATATTTCAATTTTTATATTGTGCCATTTAACACTGATCTTTTTTGTTTTAATAATATCAACACAAGCCAAAGCCACTAAGGCGCAATCGGTTACTTAATGTTAGAGAATATGAGAGAAAAACCAGCATTAAGGAGAGAGAACAATAAAAGGACAATAATTAAGTAGACAGAAGATAACGATTGACATTGCATTTAAACTTCTGAAGATCGAAGTTGACTGTGAAGTAACAAGCCGGAAGAAAATTCCACAAGTGAGAAGTGCAACAGAAGAAAACATTAACATAAAAATTACGGTTACATCTGGCAATTTCAACTGTAAAATGATGTGTTGCCCCCAATCTAGTACTGCACTTAAATCCATAGTCTAGGTACCATAGAGGAAAATTCGTCAGCACAATTACCATGAAAGTATTTATAAAAGACATGGGAGAATATGCGTTATGGCGGTGGGAAAGTAATTGAAGCCGAGATGCAAGGCCAGGACCAATAACATTGCAGATTCTTCTTTGAATCTGCAAAATCTCTCAACAAAATTATTCTTTATTCTCCTTTAACTATTTATTCAAATCAGCCATTATAAACTATACAATATTGTAGTACAACTGACTTCTTTAAAAACATGATATCAGCTATTGAAAGATAAGCTGGCCTGTGCTAAAATCTTCCACGGATAACTGAATTTACCACAACGTAAGCTGATCAGCCTCAATTCCTGACCAACCTACAAAGGTTTTCATTATTAATCTACTTCTGTCGATTGCTGTTATATAACTGGTTAGTATTTCGATATTTGAATGTGTCAATCCTCAAATTCTTTCAAAAACGGATTTCTCTATTGCCAGACTGTCACCCATGAAGGGGCTATTTTTCCCCAAAAAATGTTTGTAAGCTAAACATTACTTAAACATACGTGTATGCAATGTCTCCTTGTAAAATAGGTTTTCCTGTGAAGATTAACATTGTTCAACGTTTTTACTAACCTTAATTTAGTTTGGCACAAGGTCATGAGGGCTGTAAGCCCAGCAAAAATCAAACCCACAGGAACGGGAATGGTCTGAAAGATTAGCGCTAACCATTCTACCACAGCGTGGCGCCAAAGTGACACTAATCTAAGCAGCACATGTTTTTAATTACGCGATGTCATATCGCCATGATTTAATAGAATGTTCTTGGTCGCCTGCCCAGTTTGTGGTAGGTGTGAAAGACAGAAAGAGAGGGTGTGTAAGAGGAAGAAAAAAAAAGAGGATTAAAGTGATAGAGAGAGGTTAAAATTGATAGAGAGAGCTAAAAAGAGGACAGGAAGGAAGTTGGGGTTGAAAATTAAAAAAAAAAAAGCGAAAACGAGAAGAACATATGAGTCATTATTTTAGCAGACTACTGAACTGACCACTTGTGTATAGTCAAATATACATGAATGACCAGTACATCAGTGACCAGTTTTATTTATGCACTGTGAACGTCAAAAGCAAAATACCTTTTAGAAACAAATCGAAGGATCAAAACATAGGAATAGTGTTAAAAATAAACGAAAAAAGAATACTGAAATAAAGTTACATCTAGTCTCCTATATGGCAACGAATGCTAGATAATTTCATCACACATAAAGAAGGGCCTTGAAGAATCGGCTTGTAAATTTTACCACCTTCAAAACGAAACTGCTCTCTTTTAATAGCTATAAGTATCTTTCCTGCCTTCCACAGCATGGTTAATGCTAACCTCCAAGAGAGAATCATTGTGTGTTCTTGGACCCAAAAAAATAACTGTAACTCCACCTAAGTATATATATTTTAAGAAGATCTAGATGTAAGTATATACATGTAAGGTAAAAACCATTTACCCTTGTTCAGTACTGGACTTTGAAATCCCTCTCTATTGCCATTATTGCGATATTCGTCAGTGTTTTTTTGAATCTGAATGTCTGAAATGAACAGTTATCATTATTTACACTCAGGCTATTGTCAGCCTTTGTCGTTATCATCACAACGTTTCGGCTGTTGTGCGCTCTGACCAACTCATTCTTTATTGGCACATCGTAGATATCTGATACGTTTTCAGCAACTTGAGTTTTTTTGTATTTACTTGTCTATTAAGTGGGGACACATGGTTAGCAAGCTCGTCTTGATAAATCAGTTACTACTGAAAAGTGAGTTCGATCCTCACTGGATGCCCCGTACTTTCGGCCATGTGCCACATCTAAGCTACGCTTGGAAAATCACTTTGGGCACCTCGGCGTGGTGTAATGGTTAGCAAGCTTGTCTCGCTAGATCAGTTACAACTGAAAAGTGAGTTCGAACCTCATTAGATGTCCCATACTTTCGGCTTTGTGCCACATCTAAGCTATGCTTGGAAAATAACTACTTGTCTATTAAGTGTGTAGTGGATATCGCACGGCTTTTTTTTATTATGATTTTTTTTTTAATTTTTGCGCCTATAAGAAATTATGACGGTGTTTACAGAAATAGTGGCACTCCGCCATAGCTGTGTCACCACTTTTTGGTCATAAACTGTTTTGAAAAATTAAAAAATCTAATAAAGAAGAGAACTTACTTGTGGTCCTGGACGGCATCCACACGGAGCACTGCACGTGTCTTCAAACTAAAAAAAAAAAGAGAAATGAAAAATTAGCAAAACGAATTTTAAATGAATAATATTTTATAAATATTGGCAAGTATTTTTTTTTTAATTAGTGAAAATAATGTGTCAGATATTAATATTTTATTTTGAATATTTTATTTAAATGCTGCGTCTCTTTTAGGACTTTGGCGATCATGGCTATCCACATATTCCTTTTATTTCTTTTTTTTTTTTTTTTTAATCGTTTCACCCCAAGCAAGGCGGGAAGCCACTAGGACGCAAGGTGTTACAGAAAATTTAGAGCAAGATCAGATAGGAGTGATAGAAGAAAGGATGAGGAGAAGGGTAGTGGATAGATCAAGGCAACTGGAGATGTCAATTGACATTACATTTGAATAGCTGGAGATTATAGCTCTCAGGGAAACTGGAATAGGGAATGAAGTTCCACAGGCGAGAGGTGCGAGACATGAAGCTATTGGAGTAGAAGAGACGGCTACATTTAGGAGTTTCGACAGTGAAGGGGTGAGAGCGGGATGCCAGCCTCGTAGGACGCTTGAACTCATAATGACTGGGAACCAGCGAATGCAGTTCCTCGGAGCAAGTGCCATGAAAGTATTTGTAAAACAGACAGAGAGAGGCGACGGCGCGTCTGTGAGAAAGTGAGTGTAGACGAGATTCCAGTTGCTATGCATTCTTGGGAAATACATTAGAATGATTTCCAGTTGATTCCCCACAGTGTAAAATTTGATATTTCTTCTCTTAGACCAGATGCCATGCAAGGCTAAAGAGCCCAGTGTACCCTACTATATAAACCATAACTATAGAGAGAAGAGGCAGAATCTTGCGGTAACCAAAGGCATGTGCGCGAAAGTAAATGCAACATACTAGTTCCGAACACTGATCTCTTTGATACCACCCCCACACCCATGAAAAGATAGTAATAACTGATTTTGGCCTTCATATTTAGTAGAGAGAAAAGAATTGAAGAAATGAAATAAATGAGAATCAGAAATTGGTTAATGTGTTAAAAATGTTTAAAAAAATATATAGTTATCAATATCCAGTTCTCATGGAGCCAGAGAGTTCAACGCAGGTGTCTCCCAGGAGTCTCTCCTCGGACCAACCCTCTTTTTGTGCTCGGACGAACTATATTGCCTGCCAAACCTTCACGTCTAGGACCCATCTTGCCACTTACATCTTAGCAAACCATCCACATTACCTCCATATTCCATTAGTGAGAAGTATGCTCTACTCGAGCAGCTTCTTTCCACGAAACACTGCTCTGCGGAAGCGACTCCCGAGCGGTTGTTTCCCCGATCACAACAATCTTAACGTGTTCAAGCCGTCAGTGTTAAAGGCTATCTTCCAACCTATATACACAAATGGTCCCTAAACGTGACCCTCTACTTCGAGCGACACTTGAGCCATGTATAGGGTCAACATCGCTGTAATATATATATATATATATATATATATATATATATATATATTAGATACAAAAGGAATAAAAATTACCTCATGTTATGATCATTTCATCTTACAGATTGAGATTACGTGTAAGGATTTTCAAACCGTAAATGTAATAAAATAAAACTAAATCTATTTATATCTAAATCGAAATGTATATGGTCTGTTGAAAAAATACATTCGGCTCTTTTTGTAGATCAGTTTTAATATTTTATATTATTAGGATTCATTTGGATTCTATAGCAACGGATTATTACCAGTATACATGTATAGTAGTTTGTAACCACGGGTTTCATGCTTTCAAGATTTTCAGTATAACTAGTTCATTTTTTAAAAAGTGGATCTATTTATGCTTTATTCGTGATTTGCAAAAAATAAAACACTTTCGTCAGATATATATATATATATCCCACACACACACATATATATATATATATATATATATATATATATATATATATATATATATATATATATATATATACATATATATATATATATATATATATATATATATGAAAAAAATATAAATAGAAATTTTCTTCATACTGTCGGATCTATATCCATATATTTGCTTACATATATATATATATATATATATATATATATATATATATATATATATATAAGAACACCGGATTATAGATTTTACTGTTCTTTCTCATTATTTTAATATATATATATATATATATATATATATATATATATATATAGAGAGAGAGAGAGAGAGAGAGAAATTTTTTAATATATATATATAGATTTTATTTATTTATTATTATTTTTATTATTTTTTAATATATATATATATATATATATATATATATATATTTTTATAGTGTTTAGATTTTATTGTTTTTCTCATTATTTTAATATATATATATATATATATATATATAAAAAAATAATGAGAAAGAACAGTAAAATCTATAATCTGGTGTTCTTATTAATTATTTTTATTTATAAAAACACATGCTCAATACAACCCTGCAGAGCATAAACATTATAAATTTACTAATTTAAAAATATGGCCCCTTGTTGGTGCCTCGCTCAAAATAATCAACATGGTTGTAGTTTGGGGAGTTAGGTGGGCAGATGTAAGTGGTGATGTGGTCGAAGAAATTGTCTAACAGCTAAAGCTCCTTGTAACACTAATTGATGAACTGAAGGCAAGGGTTATGGTAGCATTCATCAACTTAAACAAATAGACAAGTTGAGAAAAGATGCAAGAGATTCCGAAGTTGTCTGGAGGCTGTGATTGAAGGCAATGGTGATATTATTGAATAAATTTTAGTCTTTAGTATTTCAATATATTTTTGTGTAATTTTGGTAAATATATCTGTAAATATATATTTCAGAGTTATTTTCATCAGATAATTTATGCACCAATATATATATATATATATATATATATATATATATATATATATATATATATATATATTAAAATTAGGATATATAATCCCGATAAAAATTTTTTTTTAAGTTTTTGTCGATTAGAAAACTTTAATAAAGTAGATTTGTTTCAAAATATACCTGATAATGAATTTCGACATTTAAGGCCTCATTAGATCAGAAAGCGATATATATATATATATATATATATATATATATATATATATGAATTTCGGATATTGTTTCTTGCATTGTGTTTTTATTCTGTCGTACAATCTGTTCAGGTGAATGAAGTTAACTCGCAAATCTGATTTAACGGTAATTATAACAACCTGCTTGATAAGTAAATACTATTAATTCTTTGACTTAGGGCTCAAATTTTAACTTACACCGTATGCATCATCTCCTGATCCCTCATCATCCACTTCGCGTTTTTTGATTTTTGAAACCGTAGGCGCTGACATTCTGATTTCAGCCATCATTTTATCAAATTCGTCATCTTCTTCTTCGCTGATATCATCCTTAATAATGACATTAAAGTCTTCGCTAAGATGGGTCAGTCTATTTGCTGATTTGTTTACACGTCGGTAGTCGTCATCGTTTAAGCCGGCCTCGACCTCCTCATAAAATGTCACCTTCTGTTCTTTGTCACTTGGTTTTGTTGTCGTGTTGTTTACAAGTTGCCCTGAAAAAAAGAAATTGAAAAGAAAAATCAAATGCACTGTTTTAAAAATATTTGTTAGTTTAGTGTCACTTGATAAGTGACACTAAATTATTGCAAATAATGGTGGATGTATAATAGAATAAAATGTAAATTTACTTGATCTTTGGAAAAATTACGTTGATAAGCAAAAACGGGAATTATTTGATTCATCCTAATACTTATGCGTTTACAGGTACCTTCGAAAAATATCTGTGAATAGCACCCCAGTGTGCTGTAATGGTTAGCAAGCTTGTCTCGCGTGATCACTTATGATTAAATAGTGAGTTTGATCATCACTGAGTACCCTAAACTTTCGGCCTTTTGTCTTATCTGAGCAATGCTTAGAAAATCACGAAAAATGATTGTGAAATTTCCGTTTTTCTCAACTGTTTATCTCATTGTTTATGATGCGTAATTTATTTTTGGAATATTGTCCTCATCTTTGTTGTTATTATCCAGACGTTTGTGGCCGTTATTCATTTCGGCCTTCTCCAGGTTTTTCTCCAAAGTAAAAACAACAAAGAGAAATATAACATGATAGTTTTAAAAAAATAAATAGCCTCATTTTAATGATTTTACAATTGTATTTTATACCTGAGTAATCTACGATCATTATCTATACAATTCGTTCAATTGTCTCACGTCAGAAAGTATTGAGCTCTTTAAATTATTAAAGTGATTATAGAACCACTAGCTGCAACGGCAATGTTATGACCGGTTATAATGTTAAGGTCATTGTGCAGTTGAGCACATAAGCAGTTCCTTCCATATAATCTGGATTGCAAATTCGGCATAGTATCCATTCATGTATCTAATGTCTCAGGCGGGTAAACCTGGCGGAGTCCACCCACTTCAGAATAAACCCAGCCGATTTCCTCCAACCTGAAGGCTCGCCTTCGTCACGGATGATGATTCAGTCGAGCGAAACCAGCAGCCTTTGCTGTTGACTTCAATCGAATGGGCTCTCTGCGCTCAACGATGCCATTTCATCAATGCACTGGCTGCGTGTCAAGCTAGAGAGCTTAGTTCAACCCATTATTCTCGATGGTCGTTGACTCTACTAAAAAAGACAGCCTTCCCTTTGACAGGTCTTATTTTTAATTATTTTGGGTGAATAGCCACCATCCCCACTAAAACCCTGGTTAGTCGCTGGTGACCTGAACATGCGGCAGGAAGTAATGGATTACGTGATACCAGTAGTATTCTCAGAATAACCGGACATAATAAAAAACAGTGAATTATCTAAAAAAAAAATGAAATAAAAAGCAATATATTAACAAGTTTATCTCTCCTATTTACTAATGATGTGTTGGCATATTGGTGTCGAGCAACGCTTCGTGTTACCACAACAAAAGCATATCTCATTACTAAGAACGGAACATCAAGCTTCATTTACTGATATTTGTTAGACGAATCTACTTTGACCATGTTACTGCGTAATTCACGCAGAATTAGACACACAAAAAGCTGTGTCACCTTTTTCCCGCTGGTTCTAGAGGTTGATGTTCGAATACAAGTAGAATCCAAAACTTCGAAGGCTGATTTTCAAGGCTTTTGTAAGTGTGTTGTAACATAATCTACCTAAAACTATATAATATACTATGAGATCTTAATTAGTGCGCTAGAAACCATTCGCAATTAGTATTCAGGATATTTTATAAGAATAGCTTGCCATAGTACAAAATCAAATAAAATCAATTAAAAGTAGGAAGAGTTACAACATCTTGTAAGGAGACCTGTGCGTGACTTTAGTAATTATCTATTTCACACCGGTAACTGATTCCAGGCAAAATCTCAAGAATTATTATGGCAGTCTAATCATTCTCACTACAAAATCGATATTCAAACATGCCACTTGCTCACTATAACGTGGATTGTACTATCCTGAGAACCCAGCTAGCACGGAATGTTTTCTAACGTCCCAGACGCGCCGTACTTTCGTTGGGAGATATGTGACCTTGTGGCAAAGTTACAGAATAGTTGCAATCACCTGTTATTCCAGACCCCAAAATGTGCGCTCATTCCCAACGTTGGTGTATTGTTCTGGTAACTTTGCGAAGTGTTGTACATGAAAAATTCCGTACAGGTCAAATAACATCAGAGTATTTTTTTCACTTAACATTATAGAAGTTATAAAATGTATTTTCGTATTTTTCTAAATCTAGAAACGCTAATTTAGATTATAAATTCTGGTTCTAATATCTTCCTAGAATTTATTATCCGTTTTCTGTTAATAAAATGTCTGAAGATATTACAGCGTCTTTGCGGGTTTACAAAATTGCCATTGCAATATCTACGTAACGTTACGAATACTTTGTAGCTACGTAATTTTGTTGGTTAGCAGACACATGCAACTCTTATAAAAGATTCACCTTGAATCCGACAAAAGAGAAAAGCAAGTCTTTATCACGTAAAAAAAAAAAAAACTGTTTGAAAACTTTTGAAAGTTACTCTGTATGTAGACAGGGTTTTTCATTGTTAATTCTGGTAAAAATTCACCGACCGTAACTACATAAGACATTTGCAAATGATACTGTGTTGATGTCAGGCAATACTGCAGAAGATCTTAAAATGTTTGTAGAAGAAAGGAAGAAGAAGGGAATATCTCTTAATTGTAAGAAGGAAGAATGGTATGGTCTTCATGTAAAGGACATCCCATGTTGTAAGCTATAAATGGAAACTTGAGGATCAAGCAGGTACAAAAGTTTAACCATCTGAGTGCTGTCGTAACAGAGGGCGGAGAATGCGCTCTCGGGAGACGCTTTGTAATAGCTAAGGATGCCTTTCACAAACATAGGAACATTGACTTCAATTTTCACCAAAGACCTTGCGATCGCTTTGACACAAATAATGTTAGAAAAGGATTAATCCATTACTACTAAACAGGCTAGGCGTTAATAGCAGCACAGATTGGGACAATTGTAAAATATATGTGTGTTCGGAACAGAAAAAAAAATCAGATCAAAAATATCGTAGAAAATAAAGTAAAGAACATCAGCCTACAACAATAAATCACAATATTTTAAACTCTGGATAAAAAAATAGCTATAATTACCTTCCCAGGCCAAAGCAAACTGCTAAATAAATGATCAGAACCCATTTCGAAATGCAAACACGAAAACAAATTTTTACTAGGATACTTAAAAATTGAAAACTGAAAACAAACAAGGATAAGTGAAAGGAAATAAAATAAAATATGAATATATTAAACAAAAACAAAGTAAAATAAAATAAATTAATTCAAACAAATAAATAAGTAAACTAAATAAATAATAAACAAATTAGCAAACCACACTCACTAAATAACCGTTAGAAAAATACAATAAACTACCCACAATGCAATAGTCCACACACAATGAATCACTGACCTGGCCAAAACACACCAACCATGGCCTGACGATTGCAGTTTAGCAGGAAATAGACTGTCACCTCTGGGTGTTGATGTCAATGTCCACTTTTATATTTAGATACGCTCTATACCTGGTATTGAGCACTTTAACCCAAACCTTAATGATATATTTTGTCATATATATATATATATATATATATATAATATCATAATAGTAATAGTTCAATCAACACTGGGTGCTACATAAATATCTCCTGTAATCATCACGTATTCAAATATTGTATGTTTCGCTACATATGTAAACATTACCGCCATGCGCACTCGGAAGACACGTTGTAAAATCTGAGGATCTGCAGGTGAATCTCTTCAGTCTTCACTGTATCGCTAGTTGTACACGCTAAGGAGGAAAACGCTTGTGAGGCTAAGATATATGCAAAATATGCAAAGGAAATCTTATCAATGCAGCGGTTCTGAACAACCTGCTACCGAGGAACGCATTTAACAAGACTAACGTCGAGACATACATATGATGGTTTCCAAAGAATGGCTTAGATGTGGCACAAGACCGAAAGTATGGAGCATCCTGGGAGTATCAAACTCAGTATTCAGTCGTAATTAATCTAGCGAAACAAGCTTGCTAATAATTTCAACACGTCGAGTTGTCCTTTTACTGCGCGAAGCTTAGTTGTGGCACAAGTAGGAAATTAAGAGGGCATAGTGAGGATTGATCTCATTGCTTGGTTGTAATTGATCTAGTGAGACAAGCTTCTTAACCATTGCACCATATCGAAATACCCTTGAGACTTTCCTATGGATGTCTTGCATGGAGCTAAACATATCGAAGCTATACAACCGCTTTATATGATCAATTGTTAAATTGTCTTCGAGTGGATGAAATCTGTAGATCTCAGCAAGGACTATTCTTTTTTCGAACCTTGTGATCTTACTCTTCAGGTTTATAAACAAAGAAGTGCACCTAATAACAGAAACCATATCACTTGAGGACTTTCAACAACAGCAAAACCGTAATAGATAACATAATGTAATTCGACAAGAAACTAGCATACACAAAATGTTTACGTTCCACAGTACTTCAAAAAGTTATAGTGAAAGCCCCCATTAATATTGAAAAGAATAATAACACTTACTGGACTTGAGAAACATATTTTCCTGAAAAATTGTTTTAATACAAAGATTTAATACTTTCAACTAAAAGTAGCGCTGGTTGCTCGATGTATGTATATTACCATTACAATATGGTGTTCCATACCTTTTATAAAATTGGCATAGTTTTGCTCTATGAATAACGAATGTCTCCTTATAAGGACACGACTGATATTACAATTGCCCTTAGAAATGAGGAGAACAGATACTACACTTTGATCTCAGTCCGATGATCAGGAAGTGTAGAAAAGAGTAGCTCGTGTAGCACTGGCTGCTCAGGAATTGAATGCCGAATACTTTCTTATTAGGAAATGACTGATATAACCATTACCATTAGAGGGAAGAAGAACAGATACTGCACTTTGATCGCAGTCCGATTGCCAGGGATTGAAGAGAAGAGTAAGAGATGTACTATTGTCAATGAATGTCGAATAATTGCTTATAAGGAAACGAATGATATTGGCATTAC